CCCCCGTTGGGGGCGTGTTTTTTCTATTCTAGCACGAGCTTGCAGCCGCTTTTGTCGGCGTCGGCATCGCTGCTACGGCTCAACGTCGCCAACAACTCTGTCGCAGGAGTCGATCAGGTGCGGTCTGCCCGAATATCTCCGTCGAAATCGCATTGGCACGTGTAGCAACGCCTTTTTTTTTTTGTCTTTTGTCGTTGCGCGTCCCTCGTTTTGATGTTCGTCAGGACTGTGTAAATCACAAGAGTTTCAATTGGGTACCTGGACACGAATGAAGGCAGTTTTTTGGCTCGTGTTTGCCTATTTTTTCGTCATGACGCATGCTGCCTTGGAGCAGAACACCGCGTAGCTACAGATGGCAAGAGGTAGTCACCCGCGCTTGGGCAGCAACACCTCGCGGACGTGGGGGGAAATTTGGCATGGGCAGGACCCCCCCCCCAGGGTAGGTGTGTTCACGGCAGACATTTCTGGTCGTCCGAGTTGACACCATTGTTCTCGTTGAAGGCGCACACGACAAACAAGGCTTTGGCTTCAACAACCGGACGTCCTTGTTGTGGCTTGACAGAACTCTTGTAATCTCCAGGCTACGTGTCGGAGGACGCATTTGCAGCGCAACACACATTTCGTTTTCTTACCCACTCTCATCTTGTCTGCCTTTTGCCGACTTTTGCTAGGTCTCCTACCTGGCCCCTCTCTCTGCCCTCACGGAGCTTGTTCTCGCGGGCAACCCGTTGGCAGCGGAAGACGGCTACCGCGGCAGGACCTTGCGCGCTCTGCCCTCCTTGAAAGCGTTGGACAACGCGTGAGTTGCCGTCCGTCCGGTCTTGTCGGTCTCGCGTAGGCGTGCCCATCGTCGTGACTTGCAAGAAAAAAAAAATCGCTTGAGGTGGGATTTTCGATGCGTGCCGGAGGCTGGTAACAAAAGCAGGCAGCACGGTTGTTGGCGCTCTTTTCAGACCTCTATATTGTATTTAGAGGACGAAAAGCAAAGGAAGGCTTTGTCCCTGGTATGGTGCAGGTTCTATGAGGGAGCTCGACACGTTGTTGCCAAGCCTTGTCCTCGGGTAGTCCTCTGACGGCTTGAACCGGAAGTTTTCCTCCTCGAACGGACACGATAGTAGCGGCCAAGTTCACCAGGATCAGCTCGGATTCGCGCTGCACAGTTTGGAAACATATCCATATGTGTGCAGCTCGTTGTTCTAGACGCAATTTTTCGAGCAAGTACCTCAAGGCGAACCCCTAGCGGCATACAACTTCGCCAACCCTTCAGAGTTCGAGGCATATTCTACCTTCCGTACAATTTTTCTTCTTGTGTCGCCGCCCACGGACTCCTTGCCGCCCTACCTCGTCCGTGACATGTCGTGGTCGCCGCCGTTGCAGCCCAAGAGACCAGCACCGCTACGACCAACACGAGGGTGCCGGTAAGGCTGACGGCCCGCCCCCGCCGCCCGTTCCCACCTCCGCCCCCGCCGATACCACTGTCCGGAGTACGAGCCTCGGCTCGCATCCCACCGGTCCAACGGGACACCCACCACCATCAAAATTCTCACACCCTCCTAGCCCCGCGGCGGATTCTGCTGCGCTCCCCGCACCCCTTTCCGATGCGAGCGACCGCGACGTGGCCGGAGCGGCTATGTTGTCTCTGGCCGTCGAGCAGCGAGAGCCGGAGGACGTGTCTGGGAAGAGCCCGTCCGCGCAACCGGACTCGGCGTTGCCGGTACCGGGCTCTAGCGGTTCGATGCCAGCGGGGGCCGCCGGGATGTCCGAGACGGAGAGGAAGTCTCGGCAGATGGAAGAACTGGGAAGTACGGCAGATACAGGTGATCCCAGTGAAGTCGCTGCGGGTGGAGTGAGCGCTGGAAGAGCTGGGACGGGATGGGTGATACCCCTCCCGTCTTCCCAGCTAGCAGGCGAAGGGCGAGGGCTGCTATTGCAGGCGGATGCTCGAGCAGTTGCTCGGGTGGGGATGCCGGTGGGAGCAACATCTGCGGCCTTGGCGTCACGCCAGAGTGGTGTAGGGAACCGGGAAGCAATCGGCGCTGTTTGTTCTGACATAGGAGTGGAAAATCGAAGCGGGCACGAAACGGCGGCGGTAACACCGAGCGAGGAGCCGGTTGCCCCACCCGACGCTGTGCACGACGGTGGCGGCTTGCCGGAGTCCCGTCTAGCAGTTGAAACGGCAAGAGCGGCCGACAGCGCCGACAGAGTGCTGGGGAGGAGGCAGCACGAGACAGCGGTGCCCGACAGGGACACTATTCACCTTTCGGAAGTCGAGGCCGTCGCGGGTGACGGCCCGCACACCCAGTCAGAAATGATGCCGGACGTGTCCACCTCCGTTGAGCCACCGACGGGGACGCATCTCCCGATAACTGAAAGCGAGGCACGGTGGGGTCCTCCCGCCCTTTCCGGTGACAACCGCAGCAGCGTCGATGAACGAAGCGGATGGACGGCGAACGGGGCTCCTCCGCCGCACCCACGGCTGTCGGGAGTAGGGAGCAGCTGGGAAAGCTCCTTAGAGGGCGAACACTTGCTTGGGTTCCGGTACGACTGTCTCGGGTCTGCGGCGGGCGCGGGGGGGACAGGGAACGCACGCACCACAGGAGGTGACCGCTCGGAAATCGTGAGCTATGGCACGGCCCTCTCCAGTGATCGCCGTCAGGTGTTGTTGGCGCCGGAAGCGGCCGCTTCCACGGCGCTGGGAGAGAGAGGGGACTCCGAGGGCGGGCACGCCGCCCGTCCTGCCGACAGCGGTAGTGCCGTTGTCGACCGCCGGGTAGCATCCTTCGGGGAGGAGACAGGGCACGATGGACAGAACCGCTTCGATCGACACCCGCCCGCTCAACTCCTGGGTGCAGGCCTTACGGCCAGGCGTGGTGGGCCTGTTGTCGGTCTGGTTGGGAGACCAAAGCAACATGGCACGCGATTGGTCGAAGATTCTCTTGGGGTGGGGCGTGAGGGTAAGGGGGTGCTTAAGCCGCCGCCCCGTTCAGCGGTGCCCCTGAAGACCGGGACTTGGGGGGAGGCTCCGCCGGAAGTTCAGCCTCGGCGGCAAGCAGGTGGACACGCCGGAGGGAAGGCGGCTATTGGAGGCGAGCGGGAGGTAGCGGTGGTCGACAGGGGCGAGTGGGAGGCGCTCAGGCGGGAAAATGATGACCTGCGGCGGCAGGTTGCGCTGTCGGAGAAGAGGTGAACGTTTGCGTGTGAAGCCCGAAGAACAGATGTGACTCTGGGTACATAAATCTCACAGCGGACATGGCCTTTTGTGTTGTCGGTTGTCCGGCTGTGATAATATTTTTTTTCACCACTTTTTTTGTTGTTGGGTTTTTCGCTGTGGCGTTCTCTCCTGCACCGTTTGCGATCGACTGATCACTCGTACCTATCCCATTCTAGTATCAGCCCCGCGTCAGCATGCCTCATTTCGAAACTGAGCACTTGAAGTTCTTCAGCAAACGACAGCCCCAAGCATTTTGCCGAATTACGAAGCTCTTCAATTGCACGACAGTCACAAGCATCGTGCAAGGTGGCAACACAACACATGACGCGTGGATTTAAGCCACATGTCCAACTCTCGCTTTCCTCCATCTTCACGTCCCCAAAAGACTCCACCCAACCCCCAGCGTGTGCAACCAACTCCTGTCGAAACGGCTCGCGGCTTCCCCCAAGGTGCGGCGCCCTCTCGGAGATGCAACGTCTAGCGGACGACGCCCTCGCCGCCACGCACCCGCTCCCGTTCTCCTCGCCGCCCGCGGGCACGATGGCACCAGAACGCCCGTCACCGCCGCGGCAGGAAGCGACCGACGGTGTACTTTCCTTGGCGTCTTCCGTCGAGGAAGGTGAGGAACGGCGCCGAGAACGGTGCGCAACGGGCGAGGGTGGCGACGAGGACGGGGAGACCGCGTCCGGCGGTGGCGGCGGCGGGGGCGGAGGGCAGGCGGCGGTGGCCAGGCTGCTGGCGGCCTGGCGGGCCGAGGTCCTAAAGCTGCTGCTGCAGAGGGGCGTGGATGCGGAGGTTGCCGCGGAGGAATCTCGCGAGGCCCGGCGAGAGGTGGTGCAGGCGAGAGAGGAGCGGACTCGCGCGGAGACGGAGGCCAAGGTATTGGCTGCTTCGTCATGGGAAGGGTGATGTGTTTGGGGGTGGGTGCGGTCTCGGCTCCTCTGAAGGGTCGGAGACACGGCTCTTTTTCCTGGCGTGTACTGTTGGTTGTGGGAACGAAAGGTGTTCGCCACGTGCGTTGCAGCTCATGCTGGTGTAAGGGTTTCTATTTCGCCCGGTCTTGCCGGCCTGCCGTAGTTGACCATTCCGGGTGATGGATGCGTAGGGGTAGGGTTGACTGGCGGACCAGGGCCAGCGGTTGAGTGCACCTCTGTCCCCGTTGCATGTGTCACATGGAACCGTCGGATGCGTCCTGGATTCTCTTACCGGGGGGTGGTTCGATGCTATCCGCTTTCGGGACAGGCGCTGTGAGTATTCTCAGTCACACGCCGGCATTTTGCCGAAGGCTGTCCACGTTTCTGGCTTGCATGCGGTTGGGCTCACTCGCTTGGTGTTCTGGTGCTACTGCAATACGTCGCCGCGACTGCTCCCCTTCTCGCAGAGCTTGACCCAGCGCGCTCTTGCGGCGGAGGCCGAGGCCGAGCTTTCCGGCATTAAGCTGACACGGACCTCCGAGGAGCTAAGGGAAGAGCGGACAGGGTGCGTGCCATACACCTACGTCTGTGTTACCCTTACGTTTGTGTGCTCGTCATCTGCATCACGCGCCTGGGTGAAAAATCCACACTCCATACGATGTGTCTTGTACGGTGATGGCTGTTTCGGGGGACGGTCAACCTTGACGGTATGCCATGAGCCGCGTTACCCGAACACACGGTCAAACTGGTATCCCCCCTCCCCCTCGGCCATACGATGTGCCTGGTACGGTGATGGCTGTTTCGCGGGACGGTTTAAGCTTGACGGTATGCCATGAGCCGCCCTGCCGGGACACACAAGTCAAACTGTACCCCCCTTCTCCCCCTGTCTTGTTCGCTGCATGCGGTGTGCCTTGTCGACGCCACCCGCAGGCGATGCGCAGCCGAGGCATCGAGCGCGGGATACTCTGTGGCTGTTCGCGACCTTCACGAATGGGTGCAAGGCTTCCTTGGCCGAGCCAGCGAAGGGGTGTTCGAGAGAGAGGCCCTGCTCGCTAGGTGGGGTGCATTACGAGCGGGGTTCTGCTGTAGTTCGCCCCTGGGGGGTAGAGCGGCTGCAGTTGTTCCGTGTCAGCGGCACATTCGGGCAAGGGCCGGGTCCAGGGAAGCTCGGCAGCGGAAGGCGGGGGGACCTTGAAAGTGTAGGCGCATCGTCGTGTTCCCTCTCATCAGGATTCTACCTTAGCTTACGCCTCGTGATCCTTGAAAATGTTTCCCTCTCTGTTGATTGACTTTGGAACGAAAGGGTTCCTTCGTTTGGCTTTGTTTCAGCAACATGCCTCGCTCTGGCCGTGCCGTCCGACACACGCGCACTCGAATGCAGAGGAGTTGCAAAGCTAGAGGCTTTCTCGGAACGGCTGAGCCAGGCTCATGGAAGGGTACAGGTTCTCGAAACCCTCTTGCGACACAAGGAGGTGAGCTCCTTTTCGGTGAAGTTCGCGCTCTCCAATTCCGATTATCTTCTTCCACATCCCCACAAACCGTAGGGTGCATGCATGTTCTACTGTCCGCGAGCTTCCAAAAACGAAGGCGCTGCCGGCACTGCCACGTTTTTTTTGTTTGGTTGTCGTACCATCCGTTCGGGGCCGGCACCGCGCCCCGGCCGTCCCTTTTATGTGTTCGCGTCTCTGTCACACCTGTTGGGTCCCTAAACCTCTCTCTACCGTGCGTTTTCACATCGCGTTTGCGGTCGTATGGTATACCGTAAATGACACAAGATAAGACACCCCCTGGACCGATTTTTCAAATCTCGATTTCTCAACAACGGAAAAAGTCACGGCGCCGACAACGGCGGCGTTGGAACCGTCTCGTCGAGAGCTTTCCAAAAATGTATCGTTTCGTTTATGCATCCTCTTCGTCGTGGAGTAAGCGAGCTTTGAAAATCGGTCCAGGGGGTGTGTTATCTTGTGTCATATACGGTAGGTGTGCATGTTGTGTGATAAGTGAAGGCACAAGTAGCACCCCCAAAAGCACATACCCCCAAGCAGCAATAAGAGGAGCAGATCGAAGCGACAAGATTCTCGCCGCTTTTATTGAAACGTTTCGTCGTTCGCAGCGACGACGGCGGTTGGTTAGTCGAGACCGTTTCTTGAGGATTTCGTCATTTTCATCCTTCCCTCCCTCCTGCCCCCCCCGGTGTTTGCCATCGGGGTTGGGTTTTCGTCGCTTGGCAACGACGTTGTAAAACAAGCCAATTCACTTCGTGAACTCGGCAACCAGGTTACCGTTTTTTTTTTTTACCTCCGTTTTTTTTTTTGGCGGTAACCATAATGGTGGTCGAGTAGATCATGTTGTGCGGGGTGGAGAACCCTCACTCCGCGCAAGGGGGATGATCGCACCACGTTGTGTTAAAATGGTCAAGCACCCTCGAGGCAGTTACACAGTGCTTACAACTGTCTCTGGAAGTGAAAGCACCAGAAAGTAAATCAAGTCATACGCAGCTGTCATCCGTACGCAAGGAAGTAAGCACAAGATGCCGAAAACCCTTAGCAGGATGCAGCGCACCCTTCATGCGACTCGCCGAATATCTCACGGCGCTTCGCGCTTGGTGATGTGAGAGCCTGGTCCGGTGAGAACCCGGCGTGCTCCATCCCGGCTTGTAGGGATGCGTGGTCAATGGTCTAACGACTACGGCATGCACGACTATGAGTACACCCCCCCCTCCCTCCTTCCCTCCCTCCCTGCCCCCCTCCCAGATCCGGCTACGCAACAGCCGCGCCGCTCTGGCTGCGGACCGAAGGGTCTGGCTGCTGGAGCGCCGAGACCGAGAGCTCGCCGCTCTCTCGGAAGAGGCCGCCCATCGCCCTTCGCCCTCCTCCTCGCGCCGGAAACCCCACCGACCCGGCGGCGGCGGCGCCGCCGGGGATTCATTATCATCATCGCGCTGCACGGATGCTGCGGGGGGCGAGTCGTTGGGGGGTGTCGATGGCGGCGACGGAGCGTGGGGTGGGGAAAGGAGAACTGCGGCGGTGGCGGCGACGCAGCCCCCGCTCCTGGAGGGGCTAAGGCCGGAGTGTGAGGCCGTCATGCGTGCGCTTTTTTGCAGGGTGGACAGGTGCGTCGCAAGCGCCCAAGGTTTTGGCTCGCATCAGCCGACACGTCCCGTATTAGAAGTAGATTCCTGTACGCGTGTTGGTGTTGACCTGTGTCCTCCGTGCCAAGGCCTGCTTCCAACGAAAAACTCTTGCCCAAGGTGTTGAAATTGTCTGTCGACCTACATTCCCACCCTCTCTGTGCTCCGTTTTTTTGGCCTCGTTGAACGTGCTGGGTACGTACGTGGGTTGCGTTCCAAATGTATCCCAGGCTCGGGACAGGCGCCGTACGGGCACGCCGCTTCCTGGACGTGCTCCGGTCGGACTGCGGCGTGTCCGAGGTGATGGAAGCCGCGGTCGGCAAGTCTCGCTGGAGAGCCGCGCTCGACTCGATGGAGGCGACGCTTTGCCACCCCGTCGTCGAGTCTTGCATCACGAACGGCGACGGCGGGTCGGCGGTTCACCGTGCTACTACCACCACCGCTGGTGGTAGTAGCACTCGCTGCTCAGCTGAGCGCGACGTCACGTGGGGCGAGTTTCTCCTCTTCTTCCTGCCGCCCGCCGGGGATGCGGACGACGCTTACAACGCCGGCCTGATCTCCCGCCTCCCCGGCGGTCGCGGCTGCCGGGGCGGGTTTCCAGACGACCACGCCTCCGTCCGTGATGCCGCCGGCGGCGGGCGGCGACCCTTCGGGGCAGTCTCGGAAGACGCCGCCGCCATGTTGCAGATGGTCGTGCCCGCTCATTGGACCGCCGGCGGGGGGCAGGGGGNGGGGGGGGGGGGGGGGGGGGGGGCTCGCGGCGCTCAGCGTGGGCCAGCTGCGGCGGGAGGTGCTGCGGCTTGCCAAAGAACGCGCGTTTCTATTGGCGCTGGTGAGAGAGGACGGTCGGCTTGGGAAGCGGCGGGCGGAGGCTGTCCACGACCAGTACCGCCATGAGCTGCGGGCCTTGCACTCCAAGAAAGGGTGAGTGCCGCTAGCGATGAAGCTGTGCCTGCTAGGTAGGCTAAGGAGACGAGGATGGCAATTTAGGTGCCTCGTACTGAGGCATGAGATTGGTGGAGCGGCCGCTGCTGGTTGTGCTGGTGCTCCGTTGATTGGTTGGGTAGGTAGGAGACGAGGGTACCCCAGTACGGAGCGATTCGGTTGGCGGAAAACGGCCTCCACCTATTGGCCCCCGATAACGACCGGGTGCTTGTTTTCCACACACGCGATAGGGAGTTGGAGCGTCTGCTGCGGGAAGAGGCAAGTCGCACCGAAGAAGAGCAAGAGAGAAGACGGGTAGTCCAACAAGAGGCGTGCAGCTTGCGGGAGGAGCTCAAGAAAGCGGAGCAGGAATGGAAAGAGTGAGTCTACAGGAATGGAAATAGTGAGCCTGCAGGAATGGAAAGAGTGAGTCTACAGGAATCGAAAGAGTGAGTCTGCAGGAACGGAAAGCGTGAGTCTACGGGAATGAGAGCGAGTCTGCAGGAATGGAAAGAGTGAGTCTGCCGAGCTCTCCCTCGTCTCCGTGTCAGGTTCGATTTGACGAAAATATTGACCCTGTGTGTGTGCGCTTATGATTAACGCAGCCCCCCCTCCCTTCTCCCCACAAATGGAACCAGCTCGACGCGAAACGAGGAACTATTATCTGTCTCGAAAAGGATGAGTTACGTACGGTCCACAAGGCTTAGGCAACTTTATCGTAGCCGAGCCGAGTCCTCTGCTCGTCATGTTGTAGTGAAATTCTCAAATACTGCTGTGCTTCATGGATCGGTGTCTCCTGGCACTACGCTACCCCGACGTAACCTCCCCCCCCGCCTTTGTTGCTTGTTTATCTTCCGACAAATGCTCGGAAGGCGCGTGGATGCAGCGGTGCAGGAAAAAGAGTCGGCGCTGTCGGAGGCTTCGCGCGAAGCGTCTCAGTCGGCGACCAAGGCGCGGGAGCGTATCTCTAGGTTGGAAGCGGAGCATTCCCTGGCCCTTAGAGAGAACGGGAAGTCCTCGGTGCGGCAGAGGGCTCTCGAGCGCGAGCTAGCGAGAATCAAGAGCAGGTGCTGACACAGCCGTGGTTGCCTTGCGACTGTTGATAGCAGCAACCCAAGGATGGCAAGCGCTGGGTGACGGGTTGTTCAACAAGATTCGATCGTGACGGTGTGTTTATTGCATGTGACGGGTGGGTCGTATCGTCGCCGGCCTTGTTTCTCTTGTGGCTGCTGGTAGCAGCAACCCGAGGCGGGGATAAAACGCTTGTTGACGGGTGGTTCAACAAGCATTGCAGCGATCCGAGGGTAGAACACGCTTGGTGACGGGTTGTTCACAAGGTGGCGAAGGTTCAACACCTGTATACCGGTGGATCGTACGGTATCGTCGCCACTCGTGTTTGTCTTGCGGCTGTTGATAGCAGCAACCCGAAAATAAAAATCTTTGGGCGACCGATGATTAAACAAGAACCGATGGTGAAGATGACCAGATGACCGAAGAGAAGCACCGTCGTCGGAGGTACATGGTCATTCTTCGCTGCTCGGGCCCTTGTTCGTTCAGTCGCATGTGGTGCTGAACCCGGCCGGGCTAACCCGTCGCCGTCTTTTTTGTTGTGGCTCGTTTTTCAGCATGCAGGCCGAAGCCACGCTCGAGAAGGAGGCCCTCGAGGAGCGGGTGCGCGCGGGGGAGTTAAAGCTCGCCACCGCTAGGCGAGAGCGAAACGCACTATTAGCCGCTCTGCGAGACCTCCAGGGGGGGAGACGGTCCGGCTCTGATCGTCCCCTGTCCCCCCTCGCGCCGTCGGACTTGGAAACCCAGCATGGAGGGGGGGGCATGGCGATACAGGAGCTCGACGATGCTACGGACGTTGGCAGTGACGTTACTGGTGGCAGGAGCGTTGGTCGTGGTGATGGTAGGGCTGTTGGGGGGGAGGCCGAGGTTCGCGAACAATCGCATGCAGCAGCGCCGGTTGTTACCGCTCTGGGCAGCAGAGCCGAGAACATCCGACAACAAGCTCGGCCACCAGAGTTTGTAGGATCGAGGGCATCGGGAGGGTTAAGAGAAGGGGATGGTGCGATAGACTTAGGAGAACGGGCGATGGGGGGGTCGAAATGTATGGGTTGTCAGGGAGCGCCCGCGGGAGAAGGTGGTAGGAGAGCAGCATCATTGTCGGCGCGATTGGAGGCACTTGCGCTTCAGACACAGCAGCTGTTGGAGGATAATACCGATAGTAGTGATGATTCCGGGTGAGCTTGGAGGTAATCGTACCATTCTTGCCGGGTGTCGGCCTCCAAAGCGTAGCTGGCCGGCTCCCGTGATTCGGCTTTGCAGTTGAATGGGTTGTTCGCGCAGACCTCGGATGGGCTCAAATGAAACCCTTCTGTGGGTATCTCGTGACGGACAGGACGTGCTTTTCTTCCTCAAGATTGTGTATCAAGTGCCGTCAGAGATTGTGTTGTACACGTGTCGTGGCGCTGGAAAGTGAGGGCGTGCTTATTATTGGTGTTCCATTCGTTGAAGTGGGGGTGTTGCAGAATCTCTTGGATTGGGCACAAGTATAATTCCAATCGTATGTATTGTGGAGAGGTCAACGTAGGCAGTACAGGGCATGTGTCGCATGTTCGTTTGTGCGCAGTGCGCTCAAATGCTGTGTAAATATGTACAATGCGCTTTACGAAGTCATTACCCAGCTTAATTTTTTTTCTGTGTGCATTTGCGAAAGACATAATTCATTCCATTTGCAGTATCCCTACTGCAATGTTTGTAGACTTTGATATCCGTCCATTGCTTTTGGTTGGAAAACATACGGTCCGTGCACAACAATTTGTCCAATAATTTCCCATGCACAAAGTGCAACTTTTCTCTGCACACAGGTGGTTGTTCGAAAATCTGAAAGTACCGGCAAACGCCCTGTTTACAGGTGCAGGGCGTGACGGAGAGTTTTTCATTTTCTTTTCTTTTCCTTGACTTTTTACTTCCGAAAAACCGGAAACACTTGCTTCGTTTACAGGGGGAGTTTTTTGCCGATTCACTAAAACTCAACGGATTTGGACAGATCTCGGAATTCCGCAGATGGGTATTTTTTTATTTTTCTAACTCTTGGAATTGAAGGAGATATCCAGGAAAAACTGGATCTAGAGGGTCAAGTTGTTTCGTTTACAGCACAACAACTGACCAACCGATTCCAAAATAAACAGCGGCAAACGATTCCTCTCATCAGTCTCTAGATGGGTATTTTTTGTTTTTCCCGGAAAAACTCTGGTTCTCGAGATATTCCACATTTTGTCGTGCCGTGTTATCGGAGATTTTTTTGCTGTTGGGCAAGACGCTCCCACAACAAACTGGCACACGTGGCGGCCCGAACAACACGAGACACGCACGCAAGCAAGCAAGCATCATGGCACGGCCTACGAAGAAGAAAATCGGCAAGCGTGGAGCCGATGGCCGGGCGGCTCCGAAGAAACCGAAGCCGGCGCAGCAACATATCTTCAGTCACGCGGCGCTGGTGATGCGCTCTTCGACGGCCACGACAGCGCCGATTTGATGGACGTATAGTGATGTCTATTTTTTCTTACGTGTATAGACTACTGTGTGGAGTGAGGCGATTTGTTCACTTGTATACATTGGCGTGCTTGACCTTCGAGGGTGTTGTCGAGCAAGCGTGGTATAGTAGTTGTACAAATGGAAACAAGGGGTGTCGTGGAGTATTTAGAGCAGGTGGTAGAGGGCAAGAGGGCTCGTCGGGGGCAAGGTTAGGGGGTTCTGTGAATGCATAGCGGGGTATGTCGTGTTTGGGGGGCTCCATGTATGGTTTTTTCAAAAATGTTGCATATCGCCAAAAAAAAACTCTGCAGCTATCATCGACGTATCTCGACGAGGCGGTCACGACTATCTATCGTTGTTTCACGTTCCAATTCTTTTTCCTAACGAAGTTATTGCAGAAAACGTAATTGGACAAATTGTTGTGCACGGACTATACCCATATCCTAAAAGGGAAATACTAGCCGCCGGCAGAGTAAAATACCTCGTTCCCGAACACGTACTTGAAAAACCCATCGGACGTACTGTAGCAAGCCCCCGACACCAATGTCAACCTCGCTGCGAATTGGGCTGGCCTCATGGAGAATTAATTTTCCTCAACAGGTGGTCTCCGTCATGTACAAAAAATACTAAAACTTTCACATCGGACACTGGGTTATCCCGCAGACAGGAACTGTTGTGTTTGGATATGCCTCGGAAAAAAAGGGCTAGCTACGACACGGTGGAGCGGATTATGTGCAGACATCATGGACACCAGTGGCAAAGTAAATCGTCGAAGCCGTGTGCAGATCTCCTCTGCTGCACGCCTTCGGGTTTCCACAGAGGCACAGGAAGCATGTCACCGCTGACTTTTTTTTTTTGCGAGGCAGGGCATGTTGCTTGGGGGGCTCACGAGCCGCACAATAATCCTGCATGAAGACATGCCAACTGAAGGTAGGGAAATGCATGCCCGGTAACTGCTGGAGTTATACTGACAACGACACGCATCAATGTTTGGAGACCGCTCTCTCTCTCTCTGTCTCCTACCTCTCTGTCTCTGGCGCCCTCTATCGCTGTTGCTGAATTCAAGATTTTCTTGGACCTGGAGGATACCCGTCCCGCAATCTTTTACCTCGACCTCCATGCGCTTACCTGATGCATTCCCCGCCCAGAAGCAAGCATCGATCGTGAGGGTGGCAGTCCCAAGGCGGATCGGGAGGATGGACGTCGATCGAGGAAAGACACCTCCGTGCCATTCGATCCCACGAACGACTCCCTGGTGGTAGACGAAGATACAGGAAGCGGCGCAATTACCACGCGTTCTAGGCGCCACAGCAGCAGCGGCCGTCGACGCACCAGTGGTGGTGGTAGCCGTGCGGGAGGTGGCACTCCTCGAAATAAAAGCTCTGACGCCGCTGCTGATCCTCCCAGCTTGGAAGGTATCTTCAATGATAGCGATGATGGCTCGAGTAGCGACATTTTCCGTGTTGGCGCCGGGACAGCCTCCCCGTCGCCGCGGCGGAACAGCGGCGGTGGGAGCCGGCGCTCGTCAAATCCGGCCGATGTGCTGAACTCCCGACGGCCATCGTCTGGGCCACAGGGCGGCGAGCGGTCACCCGGGCGAAAATCCGCTGCTGGGGGACGGCGTCGATCGAGCAGCAAGCGGCCGCGAAGGGATCCATCGCCGCGGCGTGGGCGGGGGGCGGGGCGCGCGTCCGGGCCTCCTTCCCTCAGTCAGACGAAGCACGCGGCGAGATCGCTCTCTGCAATGGGCCTGAGCGGATCCGGATCTACAAAGCCCAGGACGAGAGCGGAGGTCAAAGAGCAGGGAAGGGTGCGAGAGTGGGCGAGCTTTTGCAGCCGCAAGACGTATCTTTCTCTGGAGGATCTTTCTCTGGAGGAGAGGCCACGGGTTGCAAGGAAGGGCGCTGTAACGCCGTTTTCTCTCCAACTAATGAGGGTGAAGCTCTAAGGCAGTGGTACATCATGAACATATGAAAACAAGAATAAATGAGCAAACGTGCCCGTGGCTATGCCTAGTAGGGATTGCAGCTTGCGCATTTTTCAACAGTGCAGTCCAGCGTCGGCGGAGAACGAAGTGCCGAGTGGAGCCGCAAGCGCAGTTAAGCATGATGGCACCTCCCCCAAACGCTTGGAACAAGACTAACATGCATGATGGCACCTGCTCTAACCGTTAAAGAAAAGCGCCAGCTGCAAACAGCGTGTCTCCCACACTGCTCTAAGCCAAGCATGTGCATGTACAAAACGTATTGTGGTCGTAATTTTGCGGCTGCCGCACACCCAACTGCAGGTGGAGGGCTGGCGAGTGCCTTCTGTCTTGGTCGAGCGTGCTAGCGCCGCCGGCCATGGACTGCGGTTCTCTGTAAGTGTGAGCTTCTACCATGCTGGATCGAAACGGTTCTACGGGGACACGTTCATGGGAGAGCTATTGGACGAGGAGCACGAAGGGCGCGTGGAAGTTGTTTCGGAAAGACGCCAAAACACTTCTGCTTCGGAGATGAAAGGGAGATCTCGGAAGGTGAAGGAGGCCACATAACCCGGTTAGGTAGCTCCACTGTTTTACTGTTGTGTGCAAACAGCCTATCAGCTGTAGGCCAGCAGAACTACACTGTCCCTCGCATACAAGGGAGACTACTACCAACAGCGGTGGGCTTCAAGTACCGTCTTGCTGCTCTCGAGTTGTCAACAGCGTTGACATGGAGGGCCTCTGTCTACCGCTGCTTCCTCCACCTCTGTCTCCGCATGCTGAAACTTCCAACGATCAGCAACGGAACCGCTCGAAACCGAAGAACAACCGGAGAAAGGGCAACAGCAGCAGTCGACGTCAGGAACGGGGCAGGGACACAAACGATTACGATTCTGATGATCGCGACGACGACGACGAGGATCAGGAAATGGAGGTTGCGACGAGGCACGAAGAGCTGGTGTACTGGTACACCGGCTTCGAAGACCCCAACTGCATTGCTGTCGTCGAGCTGGTGGCCACGGTTATGGACACCGAGAACGGTGTACAGGTTCGTCCGTTGATTATTTACATGAGTCCACTTGCACGGCATACACGGCAGCTGAGCCAAGGGTTAATGACGAACGCCGTTTGCAGATTCATTGCCTGTGAAGGATGGATATGGAAACCTGAAGGGGTCAAGTAGTGGCTTAGTAGATCTTGGCCAACAGCCAAAAGTTGGCGATTCTATCACGGCGCGAAGGATGCTGAGATATTGCGTTGCACGCAGTCTCTTTCACACACCGGACTGTACCGCTCAACAGTGCAACGCACGATCTTTGTACATACTCATCTACCGTGCGACCTGTGCATGCTTTGCCGGGTTGTCCAGGAGGGGCAGTACGGGTGCGGTTGGACTTTTATCCAGTTCTTTGGACCGAACGAGCCGGAGGCGGTACAGCATAGGGATGTCTACCGCGGGTCCCCGCGAAACCTACTGTTTTTCGAGCAGGTGTGCATCTCATTCGCAAAATATCGTCACGTTTCTGGACCGAAAAGAAAATGCACGCGTCCAGCATGACCTACTCATGAACACCGCCTTGCTGTTTCTGCCAAGGCGACATGATTCAAAGGACTACACAACGCAGCAGCAGTCACTCCACGCTCTTTATTCCGCAAGGAGCGTAGCCAACCTTCCTGTACCACGATGACTGAATGACAGGGCGACTGGGGAAGCATTGGGGAAACTGTCATCCCCGGATGTTCTCTCTGGTTCACCCTGTCAGTGTGGGAAGGTCTGCTGAAGGCGAGACACCTGTTTCGCCCTGACGAGATCGTGTCAGCGGTCGATGTCCTCCCAGGCACCCAGGCACGTGATATTTCAACTGTGATGCATAGCGAATTTCCGTTTCTTCAGAATACCGGCGACACGTATCCGTACCAATCTTGTGCGTGCACACGACGGCGGGAAGATAGGTCGAGTCGACGCGCCTTCACCACTTTCGATATATCTGATCACCAGTCGAGTCGCGTTCGCCGTACATGCG